GGAAAGACCTTTGCTCAAAATGGATGTCTTCATCGCCATAAGATGATACACACAAGGGGAAAACCATATAAATGCATGGAGTGTGGAAAGACCTTTGCTCAAAATGGATGTCTTCATCGCCATAAGATGATACACACAAGGGGAAAACCATATAAATGCATGGAGTGTGGAAAGACCTTTGCTCAAAATGGATGTCTTCATCGCCATAAGATGATACACACAAGGGGAAAACCATATAAATGCATGGAGTGTGGAAAGACCTTTTCTCGAAATTGTGATCTTCTTTGCCATAACAGGATTCATACAGGAGAGAAGGCATATGAATGCATGGAATGTGGAAAGACCTTTGCTTTCAGCAGTAGTCTTGGTAGTCACAAAAAGGTCCATACAGGAGAAAAGCCATTTAAATGCATGGAGTGTGGAAAGACCTTTGCTCGAAGTGATAGTCTTGTTTACCATAATATGATCCACACAGGAGAGAAGCCATTTAAATGCATGGAATGTGGAAAGACCTTTGCTCTGAATGGTCATCTTATTTCTCACAAAAGGATCCATGCTCGAGAGAAACTATATAGCAATGTCAATTCCACTTAGACTTATCTATCACCATAATGCTTCATAACACACACTGAGCAGTTTACAAAGTCGGCATATTGCCACCAGTAATCCGAGTACCAATGATATATCTGTGCTTTAAATTCTGCAAAGGGCTTAAGCTTCCTAGTCACATTTGTTGAGGTGAATTTCCTACTCAATTCCTATGTAAAATTTTACCTCATTATGAGGTAACCTTTCTGGAATATCCATAGGTTTCAGCTTTTTCTCCATTTTGGAACTCGTTTTCTTTTTTCTTTTTCTTCAGAGTCTTTCTGCGGGCATCAAAGGTGGGTCACCAGGGGTGTTTATCAGAAGTTGTTGGAGAGGTCTCTGCCCTTTTTGCTCGCTGTGAGGCTGAGCAAATGATTTGAAAAGGGCACTTGTCTGTATTGAATTAAAGAAATAAAGAACAAATGCATAAAAATCATTTTTGTGATTGTGGCTTCCCTGGCTGTGTTTCCCAGAGAGCCTCCGGGCCCTTCTCTTTTGATTGCCTGGCTGTTTATGACAGGATTTGGACCAGTGGTTGGTTTCCCATCTTTTTACTACTAGTTTGCGCATACTCATGGACAATGCTTCTGCGCAAAAGCTTCTGCACATGCATAGAAGCATCTGGACAGTTGGGCGGAGGCTCCGGCCACTGCTACTATTGGTTTGACCCAGCCGAACCGGGAGCAAAACACCTTTGATTTGGATCTTTTACAAAAAACAAAACAATTTTTATTTGTTTTTAAACAAAGACAAACATAAAAAGAAAACCATCTTCCATTACAAATTGTAGAAAGTGTGTCAGTTGGTTACAGTATTTCCATGCATCTCTTCCAT